AGTCTGTTCTTTTTTTTTTCTATGGAAAATCTTTCATCTTTGGAAGAACAGCACAAAGAACGCCCTCGAAGATTATACAATCCTATATAACTTGGCCCTTGAAAGTGCTTTTATAGAAAGGATTGTTTCTATAGTAGGAATATGGTATATATACAGTATACATATATGTATATAGTAGATGTGCTGATTGTAGAGCTTTTCTTAGAAAACAGAGAAGTTTTCCATAAAAAAAAACAATTTTTTAAACGATTCTTTCTTTAGCGCTATATGATATTGTTGATATCGTATAGCTCGAAAAACAAAACAGCTTTTTAAACAAGAACTCTTTGGCAGCTATATGCTATAGTGTTCCGAACCGACCAAATCTGATTTATATATATACAATACCTGCAACAAAAGCTCGGAGCCATGCAGAGCTTTAAGGTAAAAGCTTCAAATCTGGGCGACTTTTTGGCATAGCAACAGACAGAAGGACATGAACATGTCAATTCAGCTGTTGTGTGAAATATATACATATATATATATATATATTTATGTATATCCATATACCGTATGTGATCGGAGACAACTTGTACACATATTAAAATACATTTTTCGAAGACTATATGAATTTTTCAAATTAATTTGAGCGCAGCCCAAAAGCATGCTATGAAAGTGGCACACTAGCCAAGACACAAACCCCGCGCTTGACCGTTAAACAATTGAAAAAAGGCGCCTCAATTATTCTCACATAAAACTTTATTTGTGCGAACTAAACTAAACTAAAACATAACAGTTAAGAGAGCAAAGCGCATAGATGAGAGGAAAAAAAAAAATAGAAATGTTTTAAAAAAAGAAAAATATGCAAAAAAAAAATAAACAAATGTAAATAGAGTAAATGGCAAAATGTTCCTACTCAGACATTGCGCACGCCGCGCAGCTCCTTGTCGGCCTTCTTGAGGGTCACGAAATTGTTGAGCTGCTTGACGCGCAGCTTGGACCAGATCATGAAATTGCTCAGGCCCAATATGGTGGCCGCATGCAGTGCGGCTGCCTCCGGATAGAGGACGGTGGCACAGCCCAGGCCCGATGGCAAATTGAGGCTGGACCAGGCGTCCACCTGCATGTTATCGGACTTGACCGGCGGGCAGTTGATCACCGGATAGTTTGTGTTGCCGGATACAACCGGTCCCAAGCCATTCGAACGTCCGGCAACGGCCACAAAGATAAGATTCTGCATAATCGATTCATATTCACGGACAATGCGCAACGTCTCCTCCGGACCCTTGTGCGCCGAGGTGACGCGCAGCTCCACGTTGAGGCCCAGCGAACGGCAGCTGGTGGCGATCTTCTCGCTGTGCGATGTATCCGATGCGCTGCCCATGAGCACCACAATCAAATGATCCTTGCGCGGCACAATATCGGCCAGCTGCTCCGATACCCAGATAAAGTTGCGCTTAACCGTATCCAGATCGGTGCTCGTCACCGATGTCAAATTCCGATAGACCTGCTTGTCGACCATCAGACGCTTGTCGCCGGCCGGCCAGAGGCGCCACGAGTCCGAGTCTATGATATCGGCGAGCACAATATTGCCACCGGAGTCGACGCCAAATTCGACCTTCATGTCGATCAGGGCGCAGTTCTTTGTCTGCCACGCCCGCTCGAGGATCTCAAATACGAGCAGGGTTGTGCGTCGCATGATGTCCACCTCATCCTGACCTGCAAAGTGGGTTGCGTTTTTTAGTTAGTTCCAATTCGAATTGGTTAAGCGAATCTTGACTTACCAATCACCAGACCATTTAGCTCGAATTTGGCCGAAATGATCTGCTCCTCGCTCCACTGTGGATCGTGATTGGCGTCATCCTTGAAGAATGTCTCCTGCTTGGGCGGTGAGAATCTGTCAAGGGTGAGGATCATGATCGATTATTAGCGGGTGACATACTGAAACAGTTATCGATATGCGTGTTAGTCAGATTACATAGTTTTCGGAGTTGACATATCGATCGGTATTTGTAATCCGATCATTAGGCAATTTTCAGGGCTTAATTACTTTGACCTTTTCCTGTTTTGGGGAGGGGGAGAAGGTCCTTAAAAGTAGAACATTTGTAATCCGACACTTGACAATCTGTAGTATGTATATATACAATCTGACTATCATCTATCATCTAGCTCTTAAAATTGTTCATGAAAACCTGTCTAAAAATCGATTATTATCGATATTAGCAAATGCAAGATATATTTACATACATATATCTATATATATATATATTTGCTAATATCGATAATAATCGATTTCCACATATGTATTTATATATATATATCTTAGAAAATATATACTTAAAATGTCGAGTCTTAAGCTTTTGTAGTACTCGAGATCGATTAAGCTCGTTGTCCTGATCAAGAATATATATATAATATATGGTGAATGGGGTCGCAGCTGCTTTCTTTGGCCTGTTACATTCATTTGCATAGAAACAGTATACCCTTCATATCCATTTTTAAGGGTATACAAATAGCTGCATATCTCTCCAAAATGAGAACAGCTGAGAACAGATCTTTGGGTATTATTAATATGGGATTAATTTTATGATAGTTAGGATAATATAAATATAAAAACGTTGGTTAAATATTTAAAGATCGATCGCAACGAAATGGGTGCAAAAACAAGGTATTTGGTTGGGATATTGGGAAAAAAAATAGTATAAAAACAAGAACTTAAATCCAAAGCGATGCTTCCTATGCCAAATATATGATATAGTGAACCGAAACTGATGCTGTCTGCAATTGATAATAACCTCTACAAGGCTATCAAAAGATCGTCTATAATTGTGAGTATTATTTTAACCAGACAATGTGCGCGGCTAATCAGGGCAGCGGGGGCAACCGGGGGCAACCGGGGACGACCTCGATGCAGTGCATCAATCGTATCTCAATTTGTTTACCGCAGCTCTAGGGGTCACTGACGTCGGTTGCAATTGATAAGATGCAGTCGCCGTCGCATGCAAAATGCAAAGGTAGATAACCTAACGGATGTTACTGACCTGTAGCCCTCGGGCACGCCCACATTGCGCTTGAGAAAGGAGCCAGTTGCCAGACGTCGGGTTACCCACTCAATGGGTATCATTTGGCATTCGCGGGCAATGAAAGCCTTCGCGCCGCACTGCTTCACATAGGCGGTGCGCACGCCTACAGAGAACGAGAGAGAGAGAGAGAGGGAGAGTTAGTCTGAGTAGGCAAATATATGTATGTATGTATGTATGTATATCAGACTTACCGGCCTCGTTGAGCAGGCGAAACACCTGGCCATTGGTCGTATTGGAGATCTCCGCCTTGCCGGCCAAATCGTGCGCCTTGACGCCATCGCCGGCTGTGATGCGATCCTTGCTGAGCAGCAGGCAGAGGCCAGGATGTTCGGGCAGATTGTAGACCTGCTTTGTTTTGCCCTCGATGAGCACCTTGCCCAGCTTGTAGCCATCAACTGTAGGGGGGGGGGGGGGGCGGTCGGTTCAGTAATTGGCGCAGGAGGTGGGGTTTGCGGTGTGCACTTACTTGATGTTGTTGTGGTTGGCATTCTGGTCGAGTTGTGCTTGAAATTAAGCTTCAATTTCAATTTCAATTCGCTCACGTGTTGCGCGTTATGCTTTGTGCTTGTTATTCTTTTATTTTATTTACACTACAGTCGTCTACAGTCTGTGTCGAAGTCGAGCTCCAGGCCAACTGTGCGCCAACAGACGCGCTGCCAGCGACTTTATGTGCCTGCTTTGCACACATTGCTTATCTCAAATTACACGCACACCACACAACCAAAAGCACTCACACATGCACACAGTGACGCACTGCGAGTAGGCATAGCAACTGGCGATCGCCAACAGAGTTGCTGAGCGCGACTGAGAGAGTAAGCGAAAGAGCGCACTGTGAAAGCACACATAAGCAAAGAGTCGCATCATTATTAAGCGCTGCTTGTTACAGCTGCAAGTCAACATTTATGTACATACATATGTATTAGCCGAATACTGGTGGGAGCACTGTGCACTGTTATGTTAATTCACCCGTGTGAGCGTATGGCAAGAGTATTCAGAGTTCACCATGCGTAGTATCGCACGAAACGAATCCAATTAGACCGCCTGGCTGACAGTGTTACCATCTTTCTAGTATTTAAAGAGGTATTAACATATACTGCTAAATATAAATGATGGATCAAATGATTCACTTTCTTTTTCTTAAGGATGTCATTGTCTAAAATCTTGCTGCTGCTAGATTTGAGCTAAATGTGGATTACAATATTAAGTAATTGCCATTTTAAAGCGTTTCTTGCTGATTGTCAGTTTATTTTTCATTACGGCAGCTGTCCGTCATTTCGATTTTATTTCGTCCCAGAGATCAATCCAGATTATCAGCGTGTCATCATTTTCATTCTGCTTGGCAGTCCCATGTAAACAAAAATATTTTTGTTTTTTTTTTTCCTTGGCTTCACTCGACGACACGTTTTCCGCATGCCAAGCTTTTTGTCTGGGTAAGGCGGGGTGGGGGGACATAATCAGGGTTTCTCACCGGTTGCCAAGTGCCAACAGGCGGAAACACAGCTAAATTATTGGACAAGCAAAGGTTCTGCCAAGTTTCCTGCATACCTTGCAGCGTCTATTATAGTAAAAAATACTAAACAAATAAAATCAAATAGGTTTTTTTTTCCATTTTTGCTGTTGCTGTTGCATTGATAATCTTTAATTTAAGTCGCGCGCCAATGTTTTAAGCGGGTGTAACAACCAACTCAGAGTCGATTTAAATAATTCGATTTATTTCGTAAAGCTTGCACTTAATGCACACACCGCCGGTTCGTCAATTCGTTACAATACTGTACCAGAGCCCAATACAATTCGTTGGGTGGGTAAATGTTAAGTGTGCCATTCGTTAAGCGTGTAACATTCGTCAAGTCCATAAGAAAACAGTACATTTTGAGTATAACATAAGCTGTTATGTTATAAGCAGACCACTGCTAAGCATCAATTTTGTTACAATTTGTTGTTGTTTTTTTCCGTCGTCGCAGAGCTAGCACGTCGTTAACGGAAATTCTTGTCAACATTTTTCGCGCTCTACATTTCAACGGCGCCCGGTCGTCGTCGCCGTCGCTGCCAACATTGTCAACCGCAGCGGCGTCGCATCAAGACAAAAAAACGTAAACCCTCACTATTTAGATCAAAAGCAAGAACAAAAGAAATGAAAAAAGAACAGCTCGAGAAAAGATAAAACTAACGCACATAGAGACTAAGAATACGAAGAAAAGCCATGCTGCATGCTTTTCTTTGGGACTCTACAGTTGAACATAATTTAATGTGTTGTCGTCAGGCTCGCGCGCATTGTTGTTGTCTCCCGTTTGTCAATTGTATTATATTAATGTTACTTAAGTTAATTTTGAGTGTGCGTGTGTGAGAAGAGATTATGCTGGCCTGGCTGTTTATGTGTGCGTGCGTGCGTGTGTGTGTGTGTGTGTGTGTGTGTTGTCCCGGCTGCAAAGCTCAGCCGCTGCACAAAGAAGCTGCCGCAGCGACTGCAGCAACAACGAGGCCAAAACAAAAAGGAACTAATTGCAAAGCACGCACAAGAAAAAAGGGAGAAGGAAAGCAACGAAAACAACAATAATAAATGCAGACAAGCATTTTAATTGCAAATGTTGCACTTTTATCGTTTCATTTGTTTTGCTTATTATCCTTACCTCGTCTCTTTCCGCCCATGTGTGTGTGTGTGTGTGTGTGTGTCAATGCCTTTTGCTGCTGCTGCTGCGGCGGCTGATTTTTGTCTCCTTTGCAACCCTCACTTCGCATACGCGCTTGGCGGAACGACGCTAACATATTCGGCTTACAGTTATCCTGGGCATAACACACATGCACACAAGTAGACGCGTGTGTGTGCATATACATATGTCTGTAAGTTGTGAGCAGCATAAGATGCAAGTTTGGTGTTTTTTTTTTATTTATAATTTTACCTTGTGTTTTTTTTTTTTGGTGCTGTGTGTGCGTGTGTGTGTGTGTGGGTCAATGTCCTGCCGGCTTGCACACAAATAAAGGTCATAAATTCTTACAGCAGCCGCTGCTTTCGCCCTGTACACATGAGAGAGAGAGAGTACCGGATGCTCCCATAAATCATTTTAAAGTTATTGCACTCGTATACCCTGTAGCTGTTACAAGCGGGTAGATTAATTGCTTAAGTAAAATGTTCAAGTGTGAGCAATAGCCAGCAGTGCCTATATCTGGCCTTGTAGAGCATATAAGTACATACATACATACATATACATGTATAAACAGACATACATATGTACATACTATACATGCATACATCTTCATATACATATGTATGTATACCTTGATCACCCAAGTTTGGCCACATTTGCTCCCCTGATACCTGTTAATAGGGCTTACAACAGAAGTATACTGATGTCTGGCAGGTACAGTGGTTACTCGTAAATTGGAACGCTGCGCTTGCGTGTGTTATTCTTATTAGAAAAAAGTTCTCATTTTTTAAGCCATATTTATCTTTTATAAAGTAAGCTATATTTAAACAAATCCTAAAGTTCAAATTGTATGCAATATGTTTTTCTATTATTTGTTTTTTGAAGTGCTTAAAAATAGTAAAGAATCATTTTCGTAAATATATTCGTTTGCTTGTCAGCTCTTAAATCTGGCTTAGTTACCCGATATCATTTCGCCTGGCTACAGAGTATCTCTGGCTCAACCCACTATCAACTTGTCCATTTTCTACTTTTTTTCTCTTGTTTTTTGGTAAAATTTCTTACTGCATACTTGCGGGGGATCTTGCATAGTATTGCAGTTCTTCTCTTCTCAATTTGGTTTATATATCGATATTGAAAACCTGTATATAAGATCTTAATTAATTAATTAATTAACGTTATGCATATACATTCAAATATGTCTAGATATATGGGGTATATGTTTTGGTAACTGCTAGACCTCAAATATCCTATGTGCTAGCAGGCGAGGGAGAAAATTTCACGGAAGAATTCCTTAAAATAGCTTCAGATATTCCTAAAAGAATTCGAAACTCATTCGCTCAGAGTTCCATGATAAATATTGGAATACCCAAAGCTTCTGCTCTTGATGCTTTGGGAGTTGAGACGAGGTGGGAGAACATTACCCTAGGAATTCTGCAATATTCCTGGACAAAACTGGACAATATTTAAACCAAATATATTTGCCACTAAGATTACCAATATTCTCGAATATATGCCCGAAAATTGCACAAAAGAATTCCTTAATATATGTATGTAGCTCCAAATATACCTAAAAGAATTCGACAATCATTCGGGCCAAGGCTTATGCAGTTATTGATTTATTATTGTTTTTTGTTCTGCTTTATTAAGCACTTACCGTAATTAAGCGCATTTATTATGTGCTGTGTTAATCAGTGTACCGCGCAATTTTATCATATCATATTTAATTACATCCCATCATAAAAAGAAACCTCAATAATGTCGCCCACATAAAATACGAGCTCTTGACTTTTTTTCTTCTCTGTTTTGTTTTGCTCGGCAATTTAAATTGATTTTTTTTTTGTGTGTGAGTTATTGTTGTTGTTGCTGTTGCTGCTGCTGTTGCTGTTGCTGCTGCACTCGCCAAATAATCATGGTAATGCAGCAGGGCAAAGAATGCGCCGCAAAGCGCACGCAAAACCTTCCCTTCGGCTCGCTCGCTCTGTCACACGAACATTTGCATGCACACCTCTCGCTCCCACTCATTATCACACTTGCACAGTTACTCACACAGTGGTGTCCATTTAAATGGCACAACAATCAGAATGGAATATTGCTGAAAGAGCAATTAGGCTAGAGATGGGCGCGTGTCGTGCTGGCTAAACTGAATTGAATAATTATTAAATGCAATACATTTACCGATATTAATGAATACACAGTAAAATTTGTGAAACTTATTTTTAGAGTTTTAATGCCCAAGTATAATTTTTTTTGTTGTTTTTGATTTGCACACGTGAATATATATTTAGTTTTAGATAAAATGCAATAAATGAAAAATAAGCATTAATAAATTTGGTATTTGAAAATATGTAAAAATGAACAGGTGGCCAGCCCGAAGGTAGAAAGCTGGTTCAAACTTATATAACAATTATATACATATATATTTTTTGTATTTGCAGCTCTGGTTTTTCCATGAGAAAACTACTGCATAAATAATATCACAACATATCGGTGGCTAAAAATTCGACACGCGCTCATCTCTAACGGTAACGGTTTTCAGCTCCCCATTATAATTGGAACTTACTTTCGCCTCATTGCAGCTAGGATCATAACAGAAAAGACTGCACCGCTCTGCCTTAAGCCTCGCCGCGGAATACGTACGGGACCGAGACGGAGACGGCGACTGCAGCAGACAGAAGAGAGAGAGTGCGAGAGATCCAGAGAGAAAATCACAGACAGGCTATAGACATACATACACACACACTCACAATGAGCTCTTATCTGGAACTTTTTGGATTGTTTGTGGTACTGATGCTGCCCTTTCTGTACGAGACGAATCACATATTCCGATATTATTTCAAGTTTTTAATCTATTATGGAATCGTCTCGTTTAACGCGATCATTCTGATACCGGCGTTTCTCACGCGGCCCTGCGATGTGCGCAATTTACTGTGAGTATGAAAACAAAAAGAAAAAGCAAAAAAATGAAAAATATTGACTCAATGTTCGATACACCGAAGATGAAATACTCTTCTGTAATTATGGCTTACGGCTATGCAGAAATTTGAGCGGAATTGTAAGGCTCGTGATTGGGAAGTCTGGTGTAGATATCTTAGATCGATTTTACATATAGTGCTATATAATTAAAGTAGTTAAAAAGATTTGGCAGAGCCCGTTAATGGCAGGTTTGATTTAAATATCTTGACAAACAAAAAAGTTGCTCATCGTTCCGATTGAAGCTATATGATATAGTGGTTAAATTTCGATAGGATTTTGTAGAACATACCCTGCTAAATGCCGCGTTTGGTTGAGATATCTTGATAAACAAAAACAAGAAGTTATTTTTCCACTGGTCGTTTCTATGGCAGCTATTTGAAAAAGTGATAGGGATTTTGTTGATAGATATATAATAGATGATGATATAGTGACAGGATTTTGCTGATAGGATTTTGCATATATGTGGGGAGCGTAGTGGAACTCATAAATGCCGAGTTTGGAACAGATATCTTGGAAAATAAGAGAGTTTCTCTTACAAGAACTTAGTATCGATATAGATATAGTGGCCCGATATTGATAGGCTCGTCCAATATATGTGAGGACCATAGTTAAACTATTAAATTTTTGGTCCTGATATCTTAAATAAAAAAAGAGTTTATTGCAAGAACTTAACTTTTGGCCGATTGTTCCTATGACAGCTATATAGTATGTTATGTATATAAATAGTGGTCCTTTAGGATCTTGCATATATGTAAGGGGCATAGGGATTTGCATAAGCCAAAAAGTTGTTCAGACAGGAACTAAATTCTTGTGGCAGCTATATGATATGGTATTCCGATTTTGATAGGATCTTGCACATATGTATGTGAGGATCATAGTTAAACTAATAAATGTTTGGTGCAGATATTTTGAAAAATAAAAGAGTTCCTATGTAAGTTAAACGATATAATGGCCCGATATTGATAGAACCTTCCGATGAGGAGCATAAACCAAAAAGTTGTTCATATAAGAAATACATTTTGAATAGTTATATGTAGTACTTCGATCTGGACTTGCTTTCATTAAGGCCAGCTGGATATGCAATGCACATAACCCATTGCAAAATGAAAGTGCACTCGGCAAGGGTATATTCAAATTGAATGCAGAATAAGCGATTAGCTTATGGCCAGCTCAATTGCCCTGGGAAGTTGATTGTCTGCAGCCCGTTTGTCGTTTGTCGTTTATTATGCATTCAGAAATCGATAGACTGTCGTTTATTGCTCTATTAGATTGCCGATTTGTTGACACACACGTTGGCCAATTTAAATCGACGCCGTGCTACTAACGGAATCATTAGATAATTCAATTGCAGCCACTCTGCCTTAATGTCCACTCACGCCGATTGCTTGGCTTTTATATATATGTACATACATATATTCCGGAAATTTGAGCTCGATAAATCTTTACTTTGATTACGTGCCTTACCTGTCATCTTGACCTTGAGTCGAGCAATTCGGATGGGCTTGATTCTGGACTGGGTCTCATTAGTTGCCCAGTTCTAGCAATTAGTAGACAGTCGTCTGTTTCTTTCTTGTTAATTATTTGTCGAATAGCACAAGAGTTAATGATGTCAAGGGTTAAGGGCCCCACAACTTTTCGTTGGGCCTTCAACATTTTTGTTGCGCCCTCCAAAGTCTGCCTACTTAATAATATTTTCCAGCTCATAACAATTATCATTCCCATTAGATTATATTAACTATTTCGGTTCTCTAAAAGATTGTAGAGTCTAATGAGCTGGCATTTTACGGGAATTACTTTAGCCACATCTTTTTGAGGAGTCTTACAGTTTACTAACTCGTTTTAATTGATTGCTTTCCCCCAAATATGGGGAGAAATAAAGTGTTAGGAGCTCAAACTCTTTCTTTTTAGGTGCTTAAAACTATATCGTTAGGTTAACTTTCCTCCAAACATGTGGAGGATGTGTTAGAATCTTAAACTCGTTCTTTCTAAAACTATCTCCTTAAAACTATCTCCTTGGGCTTACTTTCTTCCGAATGTGAGAAGAATCTCAAACTCTAAAAGTTTTGCAATATTTTTGAATAGTAAACAACTTTTGTACTAACTTTTGTCAACTGTTCTTGGTTCAACTAATCCGACATAAGGTTTGCCTTGTGGTATATAAAATATTTGCTCAGTTTGGGCTCAAATCGCTGCGGTTCATAACTGGTTTTGCAGCCCTGGTAAACATATACATATATAGATAGCAGGGCTGCAAATCTAAAACAATTTGTTGCTGGTTCAATTCACGATTAGAACCAGCCGCCTGCAGTCTTTAAGTAACGGCGGCTACTGATAAAAAAAATATAAATAAAATTGCGGGTTTGAACCAATTTGCGGCTCAAACCCGTTCTGCAGCCATGCTCAATTGGCACTCAGACCTTCTCGTGTTTTCCTCTATTTGTTGTGACCTTTCAGTTTGGCTGGCTAAGTAACCATCAATATTTACGGGACTTTGAAAGCCAAGTGCAGCTGTGGGACACCTGCATTAGGTGACAGCGGCGTCGGCGTCGGCGTGGGCGTGGGCGTGGGCGTGGTCAGTGGCAAGGGAGTTAAATATTCTATTTGTTGTACCGACATTTGTTTGGGCCCCAACTGTGTGAAGGACAACGCATGTTGTCGCCGACAGCAGGGCGGGCGGTGCGAACGGTGCGAGCGGTGCAATTGACACGTGCCGACCCCCCTCACCCTCAGAGCGGTGCGCGGGGCTCTGTTTGCGGCGCACGCCAACGCCAACGGCAACGGCAACTGGCAACTGGCAATTTGGCGAGGTCGCCCGTGTTGCCCAGCGAGTGTTTATTTTTTGGGGAGGGAAGGGAGGGGGGCGGACGGAGGGGACTCTATATTTAATGACATTTCGTACAATTTTAATCATAACTGTTTTTAATGCATCAGCTGCAAATGGGCGTCAATCGATTGCCCAGCCGACACTCCAAGTATATACATATATATATATATATATATATATGTATATTTTTGATATAGCCATGCAATATTGTATGACATATTGGGGCCTGCCGTAACCCTCAGTCAGCCAAAAAAAAATTGGGTGCTCGCGCCGAAAGTCGAATGCCCAAATTCTGTTTTATTTTTTACATAATACACTTGCCGTCGGCTACCATAGCTATGTCACGCAATGTGTGACGCACTGTCCGTAGTTGGTTTCGGATACATATAGCATGCCATTCAAGTTTGAACCAGCTTCCTGCCTGCGGCTGGTGCCCTTTTCAGGTTTTCTGGTTCGAAATTTGGTTCAATATTTTGCAAACTTTAGCAAAAGAATTTAATTTTACATAGTACATATTTTTGTAGAGTAAAATAGAATCTTTACCCAGTCTTGGCATTTCGGAAACAAAGAGAAAGTACGGATATCTTCGGCACGCCGAAGATTTAATACCCTAGTTGACATTTTCCGTACGCTTTGGCAGCAAATGCTGAGGTTGAAGGAAATTATTTTGGAAAATAGAGTATTTCGTCATACATAAACTTTCGACTGATTCTTCCCATATAACAAGATTTGACAAGATTTGGCTTATATATAAGCAGAACAGTTTAATTAGTAAATAAATAGTAAAATTAAGGTATCTTGATTAACATATCAGTCTTCCATATATGTACTTAATTTAAGGCCGATCGTTCCTATGTCAGCTATATGTTATATTGGCACGATTTTGATAAGATTTTGCATATAAGTGTGTAGAGAGCATGGTGGAATTTAGAATTGTCGAGTTTGCTCAAGATATCTTCATAAATATACAAAGTTTCCCATACAGTAACTTAATTTGCGACCGATCTTTCCTATGACAGCTTTATGTTATGATATAGTGGTCCGATCCGGCCGTTTGAGATATGTATGTATATATACTGCCTGCCATATAAAGAGGGACCTATGCACAGTTTCAGACGGACTGATCTAGAATATATAAACTTTATGGGTTCGGAGATGTCTTCTTCTATGCGTTTCACATTTCATGACAACATTCTAATACCCTCTGCAAGGGTATACAAAATGCATGTCATTAATTTATTTATTTTATTGAATCTGTGTTCTAAGTTTTTGTATTTAAAAGTTATATATTTAATTCAACTGTAACTGTTTTGGCTTTAGGTTCGGTTAATGGTAAAAGAAATAAAAAAGAAATTCCAATTCCGAGTTCGAACCGTCAGGGTTCAAACCCGCTTTGCAGCCTTATTATGGATATACATAAATGATTGAGAATGTAAAGCAAACGAAGATAGGCATGAAACCATATATCGTAGCAAGGTCATAGGAATAATGGAAGAAAAATATAGTTTATAATCAAGGAACTTTTCTTTTTTGTCAACTTTACAATTGGGATTGCTTGGAATATCGATTTTTAACGCTGTTTATCATATAGTATATAGTTATATTCAGCTAAAATCGGTTGAGTCGAAAACATTTTTTAATTTTATCTACATATATTAAAATCTTCAATCCAAAGTTGGCCTTGAATGCTTTCAATACTTTTGCAATAAATATACTTCGCGCAACTTCCGCAGCTCGGAGCGCAGCTGGCATGTGTCTAGTAAGAGTATTTAAGCGTCGGCTAACTGTGCCTGGCCTTGCGCCCTTGTCCCATGTGGGCTTCAGTGCGCTTGCACAACAATTTGCAATTTGCATTGGTAATCAGAGTTGGCTGACAGCTTGTCTGCGGTATTTACAAAAAGGAAAAAATACAACAACAAATTATTATTATTTATATATTTTTTTTTTTTTTTTTTTGCAAAGCGTGCTTCGCATTTTAATTGGGGATTGACAACACGAGCGATCTATTGATGGAGCCGGCTGTGGTCTGGGTCACATCTCGTTAGATGGCAATAATTTTGAGCGGTGCGGTCGTCCAACCCATTCAGAATTCGACCTTGGTAGCTGCCGATCGCCGATCTTCTCGAGAACTTCTGCATTTGGTGTGCCAAAAAAAAAAAAAAAAATGTTTTTTCTGTTGTGTATCATTTGTGGGCGAAACTGAGAGGAAAATTAGTGTTAAGAATTTTTCTGTGACCTTTTTTTTGTGATTAGCGCGGCGATTTCTCATGTTTCTGTCGAGGAAATTACATTTTGTGTCAGTCTGGCAACGCCAATAGCTGGCCAATGGCGAGCTGGCACAGCCTTTGCCTTTCTTTACATAGGTATACACTTAATTTATTCTGCGTCAGCGTTGCCATTTTATTTATTTATATGTGTTAACTACTAAAACTTCTTTGACAGGCAAAACGAATGAGTTTCAAAATTGCCGTATGTCTAAATTATTACCATGTGGCAACACCAAATTTCATCAGGACGATCGAGTTAATAATGTATACACATATATCGAAAATACATATCAAGCTCCGTCTGGTGTTGCCAGAGCTGCAGCTGCATTGCAAGGTGGCATCGCTGTATTGCTTATGTGCTTGTCAAAATTTGACAATAAGATCGACATGTGCTCTTTTTTGCGTGTTAAATGGAATAAGTATCTGAATATTTAATCCTTTACTTTTTTGCTAAATGCTGCCATATATGAAAATAACTTTAAGGTGGCAACGCTGAAATGCTACTTTCGCGTCGAATAATCGAAGGGCTAAGCTGCTCGCATTTTTGATATTTTATGTGTGGCCAACAATATTTGGTGCTGCCATATAGGCATTTAACGACAAGGTGGCAACGCCGCAATGCTAGCTTTATATCAAATAATTGGAAGGATAAGCGGCTCGCATTTTTCCGCTTTTTCGAAAAAAATTGGTGCTGCCAGACATGCATTTAACGACAAGGTGGCAACGCTGTAATGCAATCAAATAGTCGACGGGATAAACGGCTAGTTGCTAATTTCCACTCGAGCAAAAGAAAGGATAAACTGTCGACAATATTTGATGTTGCCAGACATGCATTTAACGACAAGGTGGCAACGCCGTGACATTGAATAAATGCAAAAATTGTAAATCACACAGCCAGACGAGCTGACAGAAACATGAGCAAACCCTCCCACCTGTTTTGACAAGGTGTCAGAAAGTGCCTGTCAACTTATGACATGCACCTGGCAAATCGTTGCCACTCACCTTGCCACGTGCCATCCAATCCAAGTAAAGCTCAGCACATGACATGGTCTGTTCGTTGAACTTGGGCCTGCTGTGGCAAGTAGTTGCGGCATCTCTTCTGCTTGCAATCGGCACATTCGCATTTGATTTCATAGAGTGTGGCACGTTCGGGATGCAGTTGCTGCAGTTCGCGCTCCAGCCGCAGCTGCCTGGCGTTATCGAACGCGGTCATCTCATAGCACTTCTTGGGATCCGATGGCGCCCGGCGACGGCGCGTAAAGAGCTTCCTGCGATCGAGCACAATTTGGCGCTTCTTTAGCCACCAATTGAAGTCCGGCTCAATGAATCGCTTGTTCGACTTGAAGGTATCGTGACGGAGAAACTCATCGCGTTCCTTTAGCCATTCACGACCATATTCCCAGCCAATCAACTGACTCATCTGCGGACGTTCCGTTTTCCGTTCAAACGAGGCAACAAACAACTGGGGTCGCCGTTGTCCATCATCCGGAAAGATGCTGCTCTTGTTCGAACGCTTAATGGGCCTCGACCGCTCCCATGACGGAGTGGGCATCCTGTTGAATTGTCGTGCATATTGCAGGTGTATATATCGTTAACAGGTAGACGGAATATGTTTTTCTCGAGTTCTTTGGCCAGCCAGAAACCAAATTGGGAACCCAATATTAGACAGAGCTTTACTTACTTGACTACACGCCCACTTTGTTGTCACTGCATATTTTCTACACCGAATCCTGAAAGTGTTCGCTCATATTTCAAAAGCCGCTGTGATTGGGCGGACTTGAAAGGCTGGGTTTACAACGAACATTGAATACCCTTGCAGGCACATAAACAGCAAGGCTCGCTTCTTGTCTAATGTCTTGTCTAATGTAATTAATCGCAATCTAAATCCCTGCAGCTGGGCGAGCACCTGGTGTCATCGTGTCACGGCGTTAATTGGCCTGCGCTGGGAGCTGCGCGGCAAGGAGCATCTGGAGAAGGATCAGGCCTGCATCATTGTGGCCAACCATCAGAGTTCACTGGATGTGCTGGGTAAATATGCAAAAGATAGCCCGCAACAACTAATGGCAACTAATCGAAATCTTTTCAACCCTTTGCATGTTCAGGCATGTTCAACATCTGGCATGTGATGAACAAGTGCACGGTGGTGGCCAAACGGGAGCTGTTCTATGCCTGGCCATTCGGTTTGGCCGCCTGGCTGGCTGGGCTCATATTCATTGATCGTGTGCGCGGCGAGAAGGCGCGGGATACGCTAAATGCGGTTAATCGTCGGATTAAGAAGCAGCGCATCAAGCTATGGGTATTCCCGGAGGGTACACGCCGCAATACCGGCGAACTGCATCCGTTCAAAAAGGGCGCCTTTCACATGGCCATCGATCAGCAGATACCCATACTGCCGGTGGTCTTTAGCTCCTATTGTGCATTCCTCAATGATAAAAAGAAGATACTGAACGCTGGACGGATTGTGATTACCACACTGCCGCCGGTTAGCACCGAGGGACTCACCAAGGATGACATCGATCAATTAATGGAACGTGTGCGCGGCCAAATGTGCGAAACATTTAAGCTCACCTCCGCGGAAATGCTGCAACGCTATAAGCCACATAAATCCATATCGCCGTCGGTGGTCAATGGCGCCGAGGCAGTTGCCGCAGCCGTTGCCAATAGCTCCGGCTATGCGCAGCTGCATGTGGGCGCCGCCGCCGCCGCCTCCTCCTACGAGACGTACAAGAGCAGCGCCGGCAAGGCGACCATGCTGAAGACGCTATAGGCTTGCGATCTATAGCTCTCTCTCTCTCCCTATATATATATATATATATATATATATATATGGGTATATATAGGTTTCTATGGCAAACCCTAAACTTATGATGGCGCGACAATTGTCGACGATCGACACTTTTCTTTCCTTAAACAACACACATACCAAAAAGAAAACTATCAGAAAAAGTAGCCAAAAAAAAAAAAAGAAACAACTGAGCGCACTATGCAACATGTTTTTTGTTTTAGTTTTTGTTATTTGTTTAGTCAACTGTCTTGAATTTGTCTACGGAAAACAAATATGTCGAATTTTCTAAAAGACCAAGGCCTATGTATTTCACTTAATTTTTAATCAAGCTTTGATCTCTTGTATGTTTTTTTTTATAACATTTTTTTTAGCTTAAGCTCTTGTTGTCTATTTTACACGAACTGTCAATGCAATTGTCTGAAAGTATTTATAACATTTGTAATGCAAACTCTAGTTAAACTCGATTTTTTGTTGAAAAATCTGTTTTATTTATTATTTACTATGTTGCATAGTGTTTTTTTTTTTTATATGATAAATACCATAAGATATGACGGCACATACACGCTAAAAAATCAAGTAGCATTATAATCAATGTATTATTATTCTAACGACTTTTTCCAACACAAATGCAAATCACATATTTTTTTTACTTAGACATACAAAAAAAAAAGAAAAAAACAAAAGAAGTGTAACCACAGCTATGTAAACATACTCCAACTGGGGCTTAGGGGGTCCAACACGCTGCGTGGGTCCAAAAGAAAGAAATGTAACCAATTCTTGAAAAACCTTGCAAATTTACCATAAAAGCATAAAAAAGCGTTCGCCGATTCGCGTTGTAAATCGTTTGTATATAGTCGCAAGTCGGGCCCTGGTTGAGAGTCCATTCAAAACTTCGGCCTGCCGAGCGTTTACTTCTTTTTTTTTTAATATTATTATTATTATTATTATAAAAATCCTGTCGCAGTCTAGAAACTTGATGTATTGTAATCCAGTGTATTGTGTATTGTATAACCAATAATTTGTTAACTCAATATTGTAAATACGAGATTGAATGGAACTAAAATGAATGCGAGAGACAGAGCAAGCGGCTTAGTTTAAAGATAAATCAAAGAAGAAAACCAAAAAGAATAAATTACAATTCTAATTATAATTAAACACTAATATTAAAAACACCATTTTTTTTGCGCTAAAATGTTTTGTATTTTCATGAAGGGTTCGACAACATGAGACAGAGGGAGACATAAAGAGAAAGAGACGACAAGTAGTTGGAGTTAGAGGAGAAACATAGTAGTGGAAGTGGGCTAGCTAGAAAGAGATGGAGACATCTCCGACCCCATAAAGTATATGAATTCAAAATCCGCAACAACAACGGAGTTTGTTGTTATTTTAACAACATTGTACACCCTGCATTGCAAAACATTGGGCATCATTCATATGTGTCACGGCTGGCAACGGGCGGCGTAAGACACATGGACTTCAATAAGACATTTTAGAGAGCATCAAATTGTCGTTAACAATAAATTTGCACTTGCCTTTCCTTGACTTGGCTTGGCTGTACTCGAAACATCCTTAAGCTCGTGGCTCTGAAAAGTAGGCAATATTTTTCATGTTTAACCATAAAACGTTTCCAAGCAGTGCACTGCTTGCTACGCTTGTACTTATATTTACATCCTAAAAGTAGGCCAGGATTTTGGCAAATCCAATTTTAACTTAATTCAAAATATTTAATTTGTTTAATTTTGCAACAATTTTTAGAAGCAATCGGACAAATGCTTATGTAAAGCTGTAAAAGTATGTTATGAAATTGCCTCCACGCAAACTTTGATCTCCGTTTACCATCTGCGATGCGTGAACTGTGCGAAAGGTAGGATTTTCACAAGGATCTTGATCTTCACATTGGCATAAGTTGTTGGAAAAATGGCCGAAAGGCAATTGATAATTCAGATTCTAAAATTTCACATGGTTGGCAACACATTTTTTACATACGTTTTCCACCCGTTATACACAGTAGCATTCACGTGAATCATCACACAAAGCAACTTTCAACTTTTTTGTTATTTGATCTGCGCGTCTTTGAACATCAATCGTTCGAACGTCAATCAGTTACTTTAGCAGTCAGTTCCAAAGATGGTTTATCAGTCAGACAATTAATCGGTCATTCAGTCAGTAAATTATGTCAGTTTGCCAGTCTGTCAGTCAATCAGTCAAGTCAGTTAGTCAGTGAGACAGTCAGTCAGTCAATCAATCAGTCAATCAATCAGTCAATCAGTCAGTCAGTAAGTGTATCGGACAGTCAGTTAGTCAATCATTTATCATCCAGCCAATCTATCAGTCAAGTAGCCATTCAGTCTGTCAGTCAGTCAATGAGTCAATCAGTTAGCCGGTCATTCTGTTAACCATTTAATCAGAGTCAGTCAATCACTTCGTCAGTTAGACAGTCAGTCCGTCAGTCAGTTGATGTCCGTCAATAAGTCACTCAATCATTCAGTCAGTCAGCTTATCATTCAGCCAATCAACCTTATAGTCAGTCTGTCAATCAGTCATTCAGTTAGTCAATCATTATGTCGGTTAGTACTTCAGTCAGCCGGTGAGTCAGTCAGTCTTCCATTTAGTCAGTTTGACAAAGAGTAAATTAGTCAATCAATCATTCAGGACGATTTCATCAGTACCAGAGAGAGAGAGAGAGAGAGAGAAGCGAAGATAAGTTTTAGTTGATGTTGTGCCTACAAAGCAGAATTAGGCAAGTACTTTAAATAAATAATATTATTTGAACAATTGATAAAATGAAAAAAAAAAAAAACTGTAAGAGAAGCAAAGAAAGAAGTAAGACTTGGCATAAGCTTCAGCAGAAATGTGCGCTCTAAAAGGTGATAAAACGCCAGAGTAAAGCAGTTAAGCGAGATAATTGCAAAACTCTTTCAGCAAAAAAGGAAATACGAAAAACCTGAGTAAGTCAGTTGAAAATATTGATGGGCTGGTCGGGTGTTCGATAATAGTGCGTTGATGCCATTAATAATAAAAATTATGGGGCGTTTACAAGAGGTTGTCATGACAGTCGTCTGACATTTATGCAACTTTATGTGCGCCGGCATACAAAGAGGCGGACAGGAGAACGACGAGGACGAGTGACTGGCTGACTGGCTGACGGGACTGTCGTCTAACCCACCCCGCTGGACTCCGCTGGCAATGACAAGTCTATCAATTTTTCACACACTTATGACACGACGGCGAAAGGCTGCAAAAGGAGCAGCAGCCTTTTTTTTCCTTTCCTTTCCTTTGGGCTAGGACGAGCGATTAAAATGCAACGCATTTCGCTACCTTTCCTCCTGTCACAACTTGCTCGAAGGGGGTAAGGAGACAGAGCGAGAGGGAGAGGGAGAGGGAGAGCGGGGCAAGAGTCGAACCCGAATCGAAATCGAAGTTTGAGCCATGCAAAATGTTTTTTTTTTTTTTTTTTTTGGGTTCATTGCACAATTTTCGCGCATATCGAATCGGGTAATTTTCACAATTTACGAATCTGCCGAACGTCCTCATGAATTGCAACATCTTAAATTACAAATTTCATGAGCCAACTGACGGATTGAACATTCAAAAGGGGCCACTCCATAGGGTAGAGCCTTGAGAGCCTGCAGTTGTTCACTTTTTGGCTTGCGAGAGAAACTTTAAGTAACTACTTGATATAGACGAAGCGGATAAAAGACTGCAGGAATATTTCATTAGCATTTTATGAGTAGTAGAAACTTATCTACATCCATACGTAAACTTATTTAACTTTACCAATTGCCACTCTGTAGGGTGAATTCTTGAGAGCGCTTAAGAGAGAGAAGCTTTAAAGGACTGCTTCATTGGAAATAGGTATATCTGGTGACGCTTTTCCATATATAAGACTGCAGGAATATTTGATTAGCATTTTATGAGTAGTAGAAACTTATCTACATCCATACGTAAACTTATTTAACTTTACCAATTGCCACTCTGTAGGGTGAATTCTTGAGAGCGCTTAAGAGAGAGAAGCTTTAAAGGACTACTTCATTGGAAATAGGTATATCTGGTGACGCTTTTCCATATATAAGACTGCAGGAATCTTTCAATAGCTTTGTACTCAAATCCGACATTATCAGCAACAGGCAATCAGCTGCAAGTTCTATTACAACTTATCTACATCCATACCTGAACTTATTTAATTTAACTCAAAATTCTTATTATTTTAAGAACTTAGTTTGATGGGCCAGTCCATAAGTTTCAGTAAGTTGCATATTAATCATATATACCCTATCCCCTTGCAATCTGATCCCATCAATTATTTTTGTCCTTTCATTTGTTCATTTGACTAAAAATTCTGCAAAGTTCCAGTTTTGGGTAATTATTATAATTAAAAATAATTTTTCAAACTTTGTAGGCTTAGTACATTTAGATTCAACAACATCTACCGAACTATCTTGAACTCCGTGTCTTAAGTTAATTTACGGAGATGTTAGAAAATATGTTTAAAGCCCAAAGTTGGAATCAACGGTTTCCGCCAATTTTAGTCTTGTGTTGAGAATCTTGATGCCGAAAACTGATACTGAACTTTCATATGGAGCTTTAAAAATATATTTGAACCCGAATATAAATACACCAAATCTTTGACACCCATTTCCACCAGGGAGGGATGGATTTTCCGAAAAGTGTGAAGTTCCTAACGGGTTCGGAGACCTCTCCTAAGACGATCAAATTCGAATACCCTTTAAAAGGTTAACAAAATTGAAGTTCAAGTTGAAGTTACGTCTTGTCCTCCAAAGTCCTTCAGGTTCTTAACCGATTTGAATTGCCAACAAGTTGGGGTTACTTGTTATCTAACACTCCAAATTCTTTACCGGTTCGCACCTTTAAAAACTTTCTTAATTCGAAGAAAAAGAATAACAAAAATTACTTTCAGTTTATGGCATAGAAGATGGGCGGCATTTGAGTCTTTAAACTAATTGTAGATTTGGATGTTCCCTCAAAAACCTTTTGATATAGAATCGTCGCCTTTGAATGCATTAGATTAGATTAGATCTGAGTCGAATACCTTGAGTTTACAAAGTTTTTATTAGCACTTCAAAATATACAAAAATATTTGGAAAAAAAAAACCTTAATTAAGTGATCTATGGAAATCACATATTTTAAAATGGAATTCGAAGTATTTGGAATTAACTCCAAAACGG